AACTATAGTTCTAGACTGACAAAAAAAAGTTTTGGTTTTCGTTATTTTCAATATTAAACATATATCTACTTTGAGAACCAATTTTTATTTGGCCTTATGTTTTATCAAGGAGTTGTTGAAGTTTTAGTTTTTCAATTTTTCTAAAGATATTTTGCACAAAAAAAAAGTTTTGCAAATATATTTTGAATACAAATACAATTATTTTTGTTTTATAATAGCTTTGTAAAACATTTACAAAGTTATTACAAAACATAGTTGAACATTTTATAAATTTGTTTCTTTTTACTTTCATTACATAATAATAATGTCATTTTCATTACATAATATCATGTCATTAAATTTAACAATATTGTGTAACTTTTGTTGTTGAATGTTTTGTTGCAAGAAAACATTTATTATCATCAATAAAAAAAGTAATAAAATGATATAACAATGTCTAATTAACATTACTATGTTAAGTTACATAACTAAATAAAATTTTATTTAGTTATCTTTTACTTTTACACAACTTTTTGTAAGTAGTTAATGGAGAATTTACAATAATTAGTAAATAGTTAGGCATTTAAAATATGTCTATTAAACTAATAGCTACTTGTTAAAGCAATATGTTCTTTATAAATACATATTGATATGATACTTTTTGTGTTCAAGTGTACTTTTCTTGTTAGGGGCATAAAGATTATTTAAGATTTCTTGTATTAAGTATTTAGACAGAGATTCTTAATTATATTTTTATATGGATAACAAAATTAATTGCTGCTTTGTAAATAATTATGGAGCTTGTTATAGACAATGATATACTCAAGAAAGAAATTTGATTGAAGAGATTGACAAGCAATGATTGTAAGCTACTTGAAAAACGAACAAAACTTAAACAAGAAAAAATTACTAATATATGCCCACACCATCATGATATTTTAGTTGTAAGATATGAGGGTAATCAGAAAAGTTGCTGTAATCCATTTCTGAGTCACCAAAAGGTGTGTAGAGGTAAAAATTTATATATTTATATTTCATTAGGTAATATCATTATTAATAAGTCATATAAGTTTTTTTGGTAATAAGATTTGTTCAATGTTTCACAGTTATTAATACAACAAATTGTATAGTAATATAATTACAAAATATATATATAATTAATGTTATTTAAGGAATGTAATTACTTTCTTTTTAAGCATCTCTACGTGTGATTACAATGCATACTGTGTTAGAAGCAGAAACCATAGGTTTAAATCATATACCCGGAAAAAATGTCATTACTTTACTTCGACAGGTGTCCAACCTGTCGAAGTAAAGTAATGACATGTTTATCAAAAAGTATAAGTGAAAATAAAAATGATAAAGATTTTGGTATTGTTAATGAAAGATCTATTTAAAATGAAAAAGAAAGTGTAGATACACACTTTGCATCTGCCGGAGTAGAGAAGGTAAACGAAAATTGACAACATTAACAACCTCCATTAAAAAAAAGGTACCCATTTCCCTTAATATATCAGAAGAAAGTTTTGAAGAACAGCCAAGTTTTAATAATGAGTATATGGAAAAAGCAAACTTGTAAACTTGTTTGATAACATAATGGTGTAGATAACTAACAAAATTGCAGAGTCTACATCAACATCAAAAAAGTACAACTTGCGACACTTGCTCCAACCGACTGGTCAATAAAAAAGGTATCTGAAACATTGCATGTAACAAACTATGTAGCTGGAACTGCACGTAAGTCAACATTAGAAAAGAGTATTTTAACCATGCTTAATCCTAAATTAGGAAAAGCTTTTCCTGATGTAACAGTTCAACTGGTCAAGACCTTTTACGAAGACGATGAACATAGCCGTATAATGCCTGGTAAAAAAGGACTATGTAAGCATAAAGAAAAATGTTCAGATGCAAAAACGTTTGCTCTTATGTAATTTAAAGAAATTGTATGTTGCCTTTAAAACCAAGAACCCAGAAATAAAAATAGGATTTTCAAGGTTTTGCACGTTGCGACCTTAATGATGTATTATTGTTGGTGCCTCAGGAACACATCTGTATGCGTCTGTGCTATTCATCAGAATTTGAAACTGCTTTTACATCCTCTTGGTGTGACATATAAAGAATTGTTACCTTATGTTGTCTGTGATATAACTAATAAAGACTGTTTGATGAGGAAATGTGAAAAATGCCCAGCAACTATGAATGCATTGGTTGAAAAACTTTATGATATACTTGGAGAATTTGAAGATGATGATGAGATTGAATTTGATCAATTGACAACAACAGATAGGTCAAACTTGACACATAAAAAAGAAGCAGTGTTTGAATTCATTGAACTAGTATGTAGAAAACTGGGAAAATTTGCACCACATTCGTATTTAACAAAGAGTCAAGCATTATACCTGAGATCAAGAAAAGAAGATATGAATGAGGTAACAGCATTATTTTTGGGTAATTTTTAAAAAAACTATAAATTTGTAGTTCAGGATGAAGTGCAAAGCTTTCATTGGACAAATTTACAATGTACACTTATCCAGTGATTATTTATTTCAAAAAAGAAGGCATTCTCAAGCACAAATCCTATTGTATTATTTCGGATGATATGATCCATGATGTGAACATGGTTTATAAAATTATTGAGGTTGTTTGCAATGATATAAAAACAAATTTGCCTCAAATAAAAAATATTGAATACTTTTCAGATGGGTGTGCAGGTCAATATAAGAATTGCAAAAAAATGTTAAATCTTTGTTTCCATTGTGAAGATTTTGGTTTTACTGCTAAATGGAACTTTTTTGCAACTAGTTACTGTTAGCAACCTTTGGATGGGATAGGTGGTACAGTCAAACGTCTGGCAACACTAGCAAGTTTGCAAAGAGATATGGATAATCATATTTTATCTCCACAAACAATGTATAAATATTGCAACAAAAACATTGAAGGCATAAATTTCATATATATTTCATCAGAAGATTTAACTTTGGTGAGAACCGCTCTTAAAGAACGATTGGATACTGCTAATACAATACCTAGAACACGTAGTTACCCAGTAAGCACAGGACGTTTTTAAAACGTTTAAAAAACTTAAAAAAACGAATATTAACGTTTTTTAAACGTTTTAAAAACGATCTGTGCTTACTGGGTACCGACAGTTTGTACCATATGGCCATCAAAAGGTAAGTTATTATTTTTTATTTATACCTTTTACCATATTTTAAAATACATGCATAACTTTTATTAATAAACTCAAATAGATATTAGATTTTTGCAGAATCATTATCAAAAATATTTGTATTTTATTTTATTTCCTCTGCATTTGCTATCTATGCATATAATAAAACATGTTTGATAAGTAAAACGGAATAATTGCATATGTTACTATTTTGTTTAGGTAGGCACTAAGCTATGCAGTGTTGATGAAGAATTTGCTTTAATTTATGACTTTGGAAATATCCAGATATCAACTGTAAATCTAGTACCAGGTGATTATGCCTGTGTTTCCTTAAAGCAAAAGTGGTGGATAGGAGTCATTGAAGATAATAATTTAGAAGAAAAAGATATGCTTGGATCATTAGGACACATAAAGAAAATTTATGTGTCCTAATGATCCTGCAAGGTCGTTTAAATGGCCACCAAAGGAGAGCCAATGCTGATGTCCACATTATTTGCAAAGTCGAGGTACCGATAACAAAAATAGGACTTTGCTACTATTTAGCCAAAGAGGACTTAAAAAAAATTATATTCCTAAGTAAATAGAGATTTTTATATTTATGAGTCTACTATGTCTTATCTTTTTTTTTTTTTTAAATATTATGTTTTGTGAACCAACTTGTAAATAATCTGAATGTAAAGCATATATAAAATCACTAAAGTTTAGTATTTAAAAAAAAAAAATTTATATACGTTTAAATTTTGTTGTAAATATCATATGAAAATGAAAAAGATAATAAAGTCGCTAAATTTTTAGTTTCTAATTTGATTGATTGGTAAAAGGTGGGGTTATATTAAGTGTCTAATTTAAAAAATATTAAAAACTTTTGTGTCTATATCAAACATCAATAATTCCTCAAGTAAATATAAGGCCAAAACAAAATTGGTTCGAAAAGTAGGTGTTGATCTTATATTTTAAAAAATCGAAAAAAACCCTTTTTTCTCGGCGTTATAAAGTGTGTTTTATAGATCTTAAAATAAGCTACATTCCCTTGTTTTGACATATAAAAAACTATATTTTTTGGATTTAACAGGTTTTAAACTCTTTTGGTACAAAGTTTCAGAATTGTGCCATGACTACAACCACCATATTAAGGTAAAAGTAAACGGAATGATTTTCGGCACTTTTCCCCCCTCAGTTTTTAGTCAAAATCATGGAAACTTCAAATTACTGTAAATTATAAATAAAAAAAAAATTACAATCTTTCCTAACATATGTCTATTGTGCCAAGTTTCAAAAGTTTTGGTGATATAGGGTGCCGATTTGTGTTTTTTTTTGTGTTTTTTGAGAAATTTTTACCGTCAGGTAAAACTTTTTTTTTATAAAATGCAATGATTAAAAATCAAATTTGTTCAATCAAAATTTGAATAGCATAAATTTTAAAAAAAAGTTGCGTAACTTTATACCCAAACCCAGTGGGCACAAGAACGTGTTGCGAACGTTTTCTAATGGTCCCGTAAAAACGTTTTTTAATGGTTTTTTAAACGTCCATATAAAACAGTGAGGAGACGTTTTTTTAAAAACGCTTTGTGAACGTGTTTTAACGTTTTTTAACCTACAAAAACGTTTTTTAAACGTCCATATGAAGCGGTGAACGGACGTTTTTCTAAAAACGTTATTTATTGGTTTTTATTACATCTAAATGAAACGTTTTGTCGTTTTTAACATTTTTTTACAACCTTTTTTTTAAGTGTCAGTTATTTAAGTAAATAACTTATGTTGTACACAAAAAAAATCTTTTTAGACACAGAAACTCAGGTCTAACAGTCCAGATCCAGACAAATAACTAAAGTTTTTTACATTTTGTGTTTAT